CCTTGGCACACATCGACAAACATGAGTAATGTTAGCACCTGATTAGTAGCATGATACTCTATTGTGACAAAAAAATCCTCCTTATTCAGTTCCATGCTGTTTGGGGGGGCCTCTATCGTGGCATTTTTTCCAATTTTTTCAGTTTTTTTTTGATTAATTTTTTGAATTGTTGCCAATTATTTTTTGCATGTATTTTTAAATTAATTAATTAAAATTGTTTTTCTGTTTTTTCATTTTTTTATATTAAAGCTTTCAAATGCAAGGTTTCCAAATAATTAGATGCCTTATTAAACCCTTATTAAAAAACAGCATCCAAACAATTTTTCAAGGGTGTACCTCATGAGTGGCTCAGTTACTCAATAATATGAATGTTTGGATGGTACTCTATTGTGCCCAACAACTCTTGGTGTTGAAAAAAATCAAAAACCTTCTCCACCTTTCTTTGAGTAAAGCTGGTCCATTTACTTTAGGAAACCATATTTGTGATAAAACTTTAAAATGCAAGGTTTTCCAAATAATTAGATGCCTTATTAAAACCCTTATTAAAAACAGCATCCAAACAATTTTTCAAGGGTGTACCTCATGAGTGGCTCAGTTACTCAATAATATGAATGTTTGGATGGTACTCTATTGTGCCCAACAACTTTTGGTGTTGAAAAAAATCAAAAACCTTCTCCACCTTTCTTTGAGTAAAGCTGGTCCATTTACTTTAGGAAACCATATTTGTGATAAAACTTTAAAATGCAAGGTTTTCCAAGTAATTAGATGCCTTATTAAACCCTTATTAAAAAAACAGCACCAATTTTTCAAACATGAGTTTTACTCAATAATATGAATGTTTGGATGGTACTCTATTGTGCCCAACAACTTTTGGGGTTACCTCATGAGTGGTTCAGTTACTCAATAATATGAATGTTTGGATGGTACTCTATTGTGCCCAACAACTTTTGGGGTTGAAAAAAAAACCTTCTCCACCTTTCTTTGAGTAAAGCTGGTCCATTTACTTTAGGAAACCATATTTGTGATAAAGCTTTAAAATGCAAGGTTTTCCAAATAATTAGATGCCTTATTAAACCCTTATTAAAAACAGCATCCAAACAATTTTTCAAGGGTGTACCTCATGAGTGGCTCAGTTACTCAATAATATGAATGTTTGGATGGTACTCTATTGTGCCCAACAACTTTTGGGGTTGAAAAAAACACCTTCTCCACCTTTCTTTGAGTAAAGCTGGTCCATTTACTTTAGGAAACCATATTTGTGATAAAACTTTAAAATGCAAGGTTTTCCAAATAATTAGATGCCTTATTAAAACCCTTATTAAAAACAGCATCCAAACAATTTTTCAAGGGTGTACCTCATGAGTGGCTCAGTTACTCAATAATATGAATGTTTGGATGGTACTCTATTGTGCCCAACAGCTTTTGGGGTTGAAAAAAATCAAAAACCTTCTCCACCTTTCTTTGAGTAAAGCTGGTCCATTTACTTTAGGAAACCATATTTGTGATAAAGCTTTCAAATGCAAGGTTTTCCAAGTAATTAGATGCCTTATTAAACCCTTATTAAAAAACAGCATCCAAACAATTTTTCAAGGGTGTACCCCATGAGTGGCTCAGTTACTCAAAAGCATGAATGTTTGGATGGTACTCTATAGTGCCCAACAACTTTTGAAAGTAAATTGAAATCAATTGAAAGTAAATTGAAATCAATTGAAAGTAAATTGAAATCAATTGAAAGTAAGTTGAAAGTAAATTGAAATCAATTAAAAGTAGATTGAAATCAATTGAAAGTAAATTAAAATCAATTGAAAATCAATTGATTTCAATTGAAACTAAACTGATTGCAATTGAAAGTAATTAAATTGAAATCAATTGAAATCAATTGAAAGTAAATTGATTTCAATTGAAAGTAAATTGAAATCAATTAAACATAAATATTCCAAAAAATTGTTGAGGGGGGGGGGCGCAAAAAAATGGTCAGTTATTGAGTGGACTAAAATTGTTTGGGGGGGGGGCCGTCACACTAATCAGTCGACAACATTATTGTGGTTGGAAGTTGAAACTAGTTGGGAACGGCGCTGAGAGGCGCCTGGTGGTTTTAAGGGTGTGCGCGATTTCCCAATGGAATTGCCTATGCAGTGTTACACGCCTGTTTTTGGACATCCTGAAAACTACTTCAACCACTGAACAATTTGCTCATGGCTGCAAGTTTCTCTGAATTATTGCCGCGCAGTTCGGTTCTGCGCCACATCCATTGCCAGACCCTTTGCTCCAATTTTGAGGAGTGCGTCACCAAGTCACCAGTGCCTTTTTTTTGGAAGCTTCCTTGGGAAGCCAGCGCTTCAGCGATTTCCAATCTGAATCAATGGTCTGTGTTCCACTGATCTTGGACAATCCTTTGGGCACCTTACGAATTGTGGAAGCATATTCTTTATGCTGATGATTCACTTGAAAACAAGGAACTTTCAAAACTTTCGCAGCTTTGGACCATGCATGAGCACCATCAGCATAGATCAACGTAACATCACGAGCGTCACATGAACATTAACATCCCACCCCACCCCACGCCACCCCATGATCAACGTAACACCATGAGCGTCACATGAATGTTAACATCCCACCCCACCCCACCCCATGATCAACGTAACATCATGAGCGTCACATGAACATTAATATCCCACCCCACCCTACCCCACCCCACCCCACCCCATGATCAACGTAACATCATGAGCGTCACATGAACGCTGACACATCCGCCCCACCCCACCCCACGCCACCCCATGATCAACGTAACATCATGAACGTCACATGAACGTTAACATCCCACCCGACCCCACCCCAACCCACGCCATCAAAAAAAATATAACAAAAAAACGGGAAAAACACAAAAAAAAACAACAAAACACCCAGGCACCCTGCAGCGCCCATGGCAACTAGTTAGAACCATACCCAAACTATTCTTGACATCAGCCGTTGTCCAAATCGAGTTGTATCCTAGATTCGTTTCAAAATAGGGCCATTTCTTCTTGGCGCGGCCCTTTTGTAAACGGACGGGCCATATGCAATGCCCGCTGCCCTCCTTCGCGCTGTCCTTCCAAGTCCGCCCAAGCCGGAGGCATGTGTCAGGTAGAAGGACGTGATCTCGTGAAGCGCTGATCGCGAGATGCCAAATAGCCAAATAGCACAGGCGCATTTTTTGAAAGTCCTAGTGCGAAGCTTTCGTGGCGCCATTGCTCAGCAATTCCGCTAGTTTGGGGCACCAACTTCCAAGCATGTATGGACTTTTGGTCTTTTGGTGCTGTGTTGTATCCCTGCACTTGACTTTCAGACTTTTCGTGCGGCAGCTTTTCATGCTCGTATAGCCAACGAAAAAGTATCTTTGCATTTGAAGGCCTTCATTTCGAAGAAATGCAGGAAGTGGATTTCCTCGTGAGGCATGGTACGGGGAGCAGCAAAAAAGATGTACAGCCGCACGATGATCTCATGTCAGAGAGATTTCGTCAAACCAGCGTGTGTGCACAGAGTGGTCGCATCCGGTTGACGTGGCAAGTTTGGATCAAGTGCCTGCCTAGCCTAGTGGCTAGTGTCAAGACTCGACCTGAGTGTTCGGTCAAGAGTTTGTGCCATGGAGTCGGATGCAGAAATCACCAGGATAACGGATGTTATTGAAGAGACCTTGAAGAAGTACGACGGCCGGGTCATTGATCGCTTGGATGCTTGGCTTTTCAAATTGGAAGCTAAGCTCGGGTGCTGGCCCATGGATATTGCTCCGGCGCGAGCCTCGGCATCTACCGACCTGCGTGAGGACACTGATCCTTCAGTCTTATCAGAGGCTGGAGTTCTGTTTCCATGAGCTCTGGGAGGGCATTGCCGCAGAAGCAACTTTTGGGGGGTAGGTATCAGCAGGCATGAGCAGATCATAATCGCAGCTGTTGGTTTGCCATTTTCGTTGGGCTGTGTGATGCTGTGCGCCAGGTCCTTCAGAAAGACATCACACAAGACAGGCAGATTTCCGCCAGCAGCCGAGGGAGGATTGAAATGGCCGAGAGCCATCCCATCGAAAGGTCGATGACACCGGACAGCTATGACATGGCAACCCAGGTAGGGCAGAGCATTGCAGCAGCGTTTTTGAAGTTGGGCTCCCACAGCCAGGAAATGGCAATAAGTCTTTCAGCTGATTTCAGTCGAGTGTTTTGTTTAATTTCTGTGCTTTTGTATCTTTATACGCCTGGGAAGCGTTAGCTGCTCTTTCTGTTCTTTTTCGCTCCCTCCTCTCGTCCTTGTCCGGCCCCGCTTCGTGCAACATGTTTGTTCGTGCGTGTTTGGGTTTGTGGTGGGAAGCCAATTTCACTGCATTCTTGTCCTTCCAAGGAAGTGGCGTGAACAATGCCATCAAAGGCTTCCAGGGAAGGATGGCTCAGCTGGCGCAGTCGCAAGCAATGGGCGTATTTTGGGCGGTGATCATCTTGACCAACTCAGTTTACCTGGGTGTTCAGCTGGAATGGACGGCCACGCACAGAGATGACAAATCGATCACTCACATTTTCGCAGCTGTCCATGTCGCACCTGTGATGAGACACCTCCCGTTGCTGATATTCAGTGTTTCCTCGGGTTTATGATGGTGTCTTTGTCGTTTCCTCTGCCCACGCCCTCGCCTACTCGTCTTGCGCGTTTAGCTAGTCTTGCTCCTCTTCCTTGTCTTTCCTGACCTCTTCAACCTCGCCCTCCTCCTGCTCCTCCTCGTCCCCGTCCTTCTCGTCCTCCTCGTCCTCCTGCTCCCTCCTCATCCTCATCTTCGTCTGCCTTGTCGCCATCCTTATCCTTTCTTCCGCTCCATGGTCCCATTAAGTCCCATTCATCCCATCATAGCCTTTGTCATTGTCATAGTCCATGCCACAGCCATAGTCATAGTCCCTATCGAAGTCGTCATATCTCTATCAAAGTCGTCATCACCCCAGGCATCATCAAAATCGTCATCGTCATCCCTTCTGCCTCCAAGTCACCGTCGTCACCATCGGTTGTGACCCGCCTTCATCTTTCATCAACCATCACTAGACAGTACCCGTCGTCATCCATCATCACTCATCATCGCCCTTCAGCCAATCACCACCCATCGTCACTCATTCATCCGCACCATCTTCATTATCTTCTTCATCATGTCTAGCACTATCACTAGCATACCAATCAAACAGAGCCTATCATCAGTATGCCATCAGGATATTGTCAGCATAATTTTCGTCATTGTCCACGACCGTACGTGAAGGGAAACCTGTATCGGTCATCGACCGGGCTGGACATGTAAAATATCAGGCACAGTACACAGCACCTGGTAGTTGAAGGGCTGACTGTCAAATGAAGGGTTGTCCCCATCTCCGTTGGTGAGGAAGCCTCCTTGCAATCTAGAACATCTGTGAAGTCCACATCGTGGTCGTCGTCGTCGTCCTCCTCCTCCTCCTCCTCTTCATGATCTTAATCTTCTTCTTCTTCATCATCATCATCGCCATCATCATCATAATCAATCATAATCATCATTATCATCGTCGTCGTCGTCATCATCATCATCATCATCGTCGTCATCGTCATCGTCATCGTCCTCGTCGTCGCCCCCGCCGTCGTCATCGTCATTGCCATCGCCATGGTCATTGTCTTGGTAAAAAGCATCATCATTTGAAGCATGATCAACATAATTAGCATCGTCAGCAGCATCAGAAAGCATCAGCGCCAATTAGCACCCATCACCCATCACCAGCATCAACAGCATGACCCACCATCATCCATCATCACCCATCATCACCCATCACCAGCATCACAAACGCAGCGTCATCAGCGTCATCAGCATCTCCAGCAACACCACTATCAGCACGATGAAACTAAGTAACGAGCATGGTGAACACGATGAGCATGATGTGAATGATGAGCATGATGAGCATGATGAGTAGGATGAGCATGATGACCATCATCATCACCGTCACAACCATCATCATCATCATCATCATCATCATCATCATCATCATCATCATCACGATATATCACGATCACCACCACCATCACCATCACAACCACCACCATTTGAATATTGAGCATGATCATCACCATCATCATTATCAGCGCCATCGTCATCATCGTCATCATCTGCATCTTCAGTGTCAAAACGGGTATCACCATCATATGGATCATGGAGCGCAGAAAGGAATGAGTGATAGTGGATGCATTTGTAGTCATGGTCAGCCCTCCAGTGGATGCATTTTTTCTCTGTTGGATGGTGGTTACCCTGTTGTGTTGTGATCAGGTATACGCTACCCTGTTTACGCTGGAAGCATTCATGCAGCTCGTGTCAGGGGGATGCAGAGCATACATTTGGGGACCATCATGGGCCTGGAATTGGCTGGATATCTTTGTTGTAAGTTCATCCTGGGTTGAGTTAGTGGTGGACCTCATATCGACTGGGGAATCAACCAGCCGCTCGAACAGCAGCTTCCGTCTGATGAGGCGGGGCTGAGCTGGTGTGATGAAATGGTTGCGACAGAAATGGGGCCGAGTGACTGCATTCATTTGTGACCAGGACTTTTGCACCCATTTTTTGATGGCGCAATTCAAAAATTGAGCATCGTGTAATTTGGTTTTTAATTTTTCAAAGTCATGCCAAAAAATGAATGAATACCGTGCATGGAGGCTTTATCTTAATATTTGTACAATACCGGGAGCTCTATGTTCCCATCGCGCACTTGCTGATCCATATGGCGCACACACACGCACACCTCCATTCCAAACGCGTTTCATTTCTGAACTTGATTTGAGGCCGGCGGTACTTGGAACCGTTTGGGGAACTTGATTTCGATTCTCTCTTGATCTCTTTTGTTGAATTGCCTCTGGTGAGGTTCGTGCCTCATGTCAATTATAAAATGAAGTTGGAGCATTTGGTAAACATGGCCCCCCAATACAGTTTATTTATGTTCGGATTCAAAACTACGCATAGCATGCAACATTTCAAACATGTTTTAGATGTTGGCATGGAAACTGGAAACTTCAGAGTTTTTTGGGGGCGAACGTTAGAATTGTCAGACCCTGAGGTTGCTGCGGCTAGGCCGAGTCGTACGGGTAGTTCGCATTGTACGAGTGGTTCGCTTGTTCCGAGCGCTTCGCACTTTGGTGTACTCGCTTCTTGGAACTTTGAAGTCTCTCTTCTGGTCCTTCCTTTTGTTGACGTTGATCATGTACATATTTGGTATCTCGGTGCTGCTTTCGCCTGTTTTGCCTTGAGGATGCACGGGGGAGATACTTACCCAAGAAAGTCCAGTCGAGCCACGCAGCTTTTGAAAGATCATGCCCAAGATTCTTCGACTTCATTACCCATTGACTGTAGCGAATCAGAAACAATACACCTTTAATTTTTGAAGCAATTTGATTTTCAAAAAGAAAGGATCTGCAAACAGCATCCTGATACAATAATTGCAGTCAGGTATTCTTTTCACAGATGTAGTCTTGAACTACCTCATGGAGCACGAGGGCGACTATGATGAACTGCAACTCTACTTCGGCAGTCTCTACTCTTCCGTCGTGACTCTTTTCCGGTCAATTGCCAACGGCCTCACGTGGGCTCAAGCAGCGGACTCTTTGGAGGTAACAGGAATCTTTTGGGTTCAAGTCTTTCACCTCTATGTGGCTTTCTGCAGCTTCGCACTGTTGAATGTGATGACAGGATGGGACCGTCGCCGCCTACCTTTTTAGATGTTTGTTCTTGAAATTTGCTTGCAGTGCCATGCAGTGCCCTCATCGCATCAAAGCAAGAATCATGCAACTTGAATAATTATTTGCCCCAAATGTGGGGAGAATCCCTCTAACTTACAAAAGCCAAGCATCATGTTGAACCCAGTCCGATTTTCACATGAGCTCAAATAGTACCCCTAGAAAGCAAGCCCCGCCGCAAAGCTGAGACTGATGTGCAGGCGGCTGAAGTCATTTTTGATTATTGGCAGAGTTTTTGGAATGAAAGGGATATTCTGAACCCTCCTGTTTCTGATAGGGTCTAGTCTATTTAGTGAAGTCGTGGTGGATCTGTTAGATTCCTTGCACCGACATGGTTATCTTATGACTTTGGATTTTTCCAAAGCATTTGATTGCTTGGACCCGTTGGTTACATGTGCATGAAGTGCTTGGTCGTCTTGGGTGGGATCCTAATCTTGTGACGGTGCTTACCACGGTTTGGCAGCGTCAAAAACGTTGGGTTTCCTACCAGTCGCACACTCATCCCTTGACTCTTTCGGGTCCTTCCATGCCTCAAGGCGACCCCATGGGTCCTGTTATCATGACCCTTTGGGCGTGGCTGGGTTGGCTGCATGCTGAGCGTCAATGTCGCCGTGTTCCTCATGTTGTCACTCGTGTTTACATTGATGATCGGTCCTTCGCTGTTTCCAGAGTTTGGGCGTGGTCGGAGAGGTACCATCACTGGAGTGACTGGTCTGCGTCTGTCGGGGTGTGTGAAAACCAAGCCAAAGCTGTCGCTATGGCCTCCACTCCTGCTGGCAGAACCGCACTGCGCCGTGAGTTGCCTCAAGTTGCGCAATTGGATGTTGAGTTGCTTGGTTCATGTAGCATAGTTTCCCAGCGAGGCTTGCTCCCTCGTGAAAATGCCCGCGTTGATGCTTGTTGTAAGACCCTTACTCCGCCTTCCTTTTGACAGGTACACGCGTGCTTATAGGCAATTTGCTGTTGCTAAAGTTGCCTATGGTTGGATCGCTCGCGCTCCCCCGTTGACTTTGTCTAAAAAGTTGTGGAGTTTGGTGCATGTTTGAAGTGGTCGCATTCGTGCTGCGTCGGTTTGGTTGCGTGCTGCCTTGCTTGGCGGGGGCATGCATCTTGATGTGTTGTTTGCCACCCAACTTGTGGGGATTTCTTCTCGCTGCAAAGGTCTCGTGCCTTGACTTTGGTCTACTTGTCGCGGCTCTCCTGCTCATGCATGCCTTTGATTCTTGGTTGGCTTCGCACGGCTGGGACGGAACGGCTGAATGGAAGTGGACTCACTCTGATTCGGGCTGCCGTTTGGATCTTTCTTCCGCCGGTGACATTGGTCAGCGTCAGCATGTTGTTCGAGACGCTTGGCGTACTTGGTGCTTGCGTCGTCACATAGCGTCTGAGCGACGGGATGCTCAGCTTCATTGTTTTCATGATGCTGCCGGATATTTTCGTCGGATTGGCTGGCCTGCTACTCGTAAGTTTGCCGCTTCCTATGCGGAAGCAAGGACCTTGGCTTGTGGTGCCACTTTCTCTCCGGCCGCGCTTGGTGGTCGGATGCTTCATCGTCCTTCTACCATGTGCATTTGGGATGGTTGCACTGAACTTGGCACGTTTGATCATATTGCATGGGGGTGTCCTCGCCGCCCTTGTAATATACCGAAGCCTGCCGAGTTTTTGTCTCCTCGGTATAGTCACAGTCGTTACAAATCAAGTTTGTGATATTGATGCTGGGCATGGTTGGTTGGTTCATGTGCAAGAGACGCTTTGGTCCCTTGTCCATCCATGACTTGTGCTTGTTGTATCATGGTCCTAGTTACCTTCTGGTTTATTGGTCTTGCCCACTTGCGCTCCCTTTGGGGTTGCCTTGCCTTCGTGGGCTTCCCCTCTGGGTTTGGCTTAGTTTGTTTGGGTCTTTGCCCCTTGGTTTCTTTTTTGCGGTGTTGCTTGGTTTTTCGCTGGGCTGTTTGCACCTTTGGTGTGGTCCCGACGCCATGGAGTCGTTTGTTCCCGTTAAGCCTTTGCCCTCGGTGTTCTGCTGCTGCCGCCGCTGCGGCTGCGGCTGCTGCTGCCGCCGCTGCTGCCGCTGCTGCCGCTGCTGCCGCTTCTGCCGCTGCTGCTGCTGCTGCTGCCGCTGCTGCCGCTGCTGCCGCTGCTGCCTGCCGCTGCTGCCGCTGCCGCTGCCACTGCTGCCGCTCCGCTGCCGCCGCCGCTGCGCTGCGGCTGGGCTGCTGCGGCTGCCGCTGCTGCCTGCTGCTGCTGCCACTGCTGCTGCCGCTGCTGCCGATGCCGCCGCCGCTGCCGCCGCCGACGCTGCCGTCGCCGCTGCTGCCGCTGCCGCCGCCGCTGCCGCCGCGTGCTGCCGCGCTGCCGCCGCCGCCGCTGCTGCCCTGCTGCCACTGCACTGCCGCCGACGTGCTGCTGCCCCCGCTGCCGCCCGCCGCCGCCGCCCGCCCGCCGCCCGCCGCCCACGCCTGCCACGCGTCGCCCACCACCCGCCGCCCTTCGCCCGCCGCCCGCCGCCGCTGCCGCCGCCGCCTCGCTCTGCGCTGTCTATTTGGGGGCAGTTCAGATCAAAATTCACTCACTCCGCCGCAAAGCGCAGGAGTTTTTTGCAACTCAGCGATCAAAGCGGCAGAAAGAGATCATGACACCGTGGTGCAGAACATAGTCCAAACCAGGAAGGATTTCCAGAAACTGGCGAGGCAGCTATTTGAAAGGATTGACACCCATCGCATGGGACACCTCACCATCACTGAGTTTGAAAAACATTTTGACGATCAAGCAGTCAGAGCCTTCTTTGATTTCTTGCAAATCGGGGCCATAGATGCATGGACCTTGTTTGTGGGTTTAGCAACTTGACTGCAGTGGAACATGTGTTGCCTTGTTTTCGGTCCGTTGACCATTGACAAAATGCAAAGCCCAAAGTCCAGAGTAAGCATGTGGGTTTGACCCCAAGTTTGGACCAACACCATCCAAATCTTATGAAGCCAAGACTGACATAGGGACACATAGGGATACGTAGGGAAACATAGGGATACATAGGGGAGACCAGCATCACTCCTAGCAACGAGGACATGGACGGCGACCATACAGTCACGGAGGAGGAGTTTACCGAACGATGCATGCAGCTGCATGGTCCTGCCCGATCTGCGGACCTTTTTGCTCTGAAACTGGGTACGGTGGCTTGGCTTTGGATTGAGGAAGGTGCTCGGGGCAAATCAGAAGGCGTAAGGCTTGTGTGGATTTTAGGCAAGAAGGAATTAGAAGGAAACGCGGCCAGCAAGCACCCTCAGACACTGGGGCATATAGACATTGCGTCGTGGCAGACAGATCGATCGATGGATAAATGAATCGGATAGACCGACAGAGAGATAGATTAGATATGATTAGGTTCGATTGGATTAGATGATAGGATTAGATTGGATAGGTTAGATTAGCTAGCTAGATCCGCTAGAGTAGCTCGATTAGACAGATTAGATCGATTATATAGTTAAATTATGGTAAATTAGATTTAGATTTGAGGTTAGGATTAGACTCAGACTGGATTAGATCAGATCAGATTGGATTGAATTAGACTAGATAGGTAGCTAGCTAGATAGCTAGATAATGCTAGATAGATAGATGCAGAATGCTGCATAGATGTACATCAAAAATGCTGCCAAGACCTACTGTTTTTAGATTCTTTTGCAAGAACACTGTTTCCTGACAAGCATGTTTTTGAATGTTTTTGAAACGATACGGATTTAACTCTTGAAAGGTATAGCTCCTTTTGAAAGATCGGCCTAAAAAGGAGACTGCGTTCAATGCAAAAAAGCTGCAGTTTCTTCGAAAAATGTGTCTTGGCGCGAAGCTAAACTTATTGAAAAAAATCAGATCTGAAATGTTTTTTTGGAGAGAGCGACGCTGTTTCTTTCGGACAGAAACCTTGCATCTCAACAACGTGCTGCGTATTTTGCAAGAATGCTGCATGCTCAAAAGAAGGTTGTCTTTTAGAAAGGAGCATGAATTCAACTCCTTGAAATGCGTATTGCGCGGATGACTTCAAGCTTAAACGTGATTGTTGAAAGAGGAAACTGCTTGTTCTAAAGCGACGCTGCATCTTTAAACTCGAAAGTGCTTCTGGAGAGAAAAAGCCCGTTCTTCCAAGACATGCTGCGTCATTGAAAGACGCCCTCATGTTCTCGCGGAATGCTGGATCCTTTAAACAAGCAGCTCCTTATTTATCCAACCAAGCTGGCTGCATTTCTTGAGCGGCAAAGTACATATTGGGTTCTCAAAGCATGCTCTGCGTCAGGAAATCTAACTGAAGGTACATGAGCACGTGACTTGATCAACAGGCACGAGACAAGCACGCACGTTATTAGCCCCCACCCCAGAATTCCCTTCCGTCGGGGAAATTCAAGGCCCTATGCAATATATATATATATATTACACAAATACCATACCATAACAGAACATGCAATACAATACAGTACAAATACAAAAATATACCAAAAATAGATTAGAACAGAATACCATACGTACGTACGTACATACATCCATACAGTACAGTACACTACAGTACAGTACAGTACACTACAGTTCGGTACAGTTCATTAAAGTGCAGTACTGGACAGTACATACATATTCATTCATTCATTCGTTCGTTCGTTCATTCATTCATTCATTCGTTCGTTCGTTCGTTCGTTCGTTCATTCATTCATTCATTCATACATACATACATGCATACATTACATACATACACACATACATACATACATACATTCATACATTCATGCATACAGACAGACAGACAGACATACATTCGTTAGTTCATTCGTTCATTCATTCGTTCATTCATTCCTTCATTCGTTCATTCATTCATTCATTCGTACATTCGTACATACACACTTTCAGGCATGCATACATACATGCATGCATACATACATACACATACATACATACCTACATACATACATACATACATACATACATAAGCACACACATACATAAATACATAAATACATGCATACATGCATACATGCATGTATGCATACGTGCACACATGCATACATGCATACATGCATACATGCATACATGCATACATGCATACATGCATACATGCATACATGCATACATGCATACATGCATACATGCATACATACATACATACATACATACATCATACATACATACATACATACGTACGTACGTACATACATACATACATACAGACATACATACATACATACATACATACATACATTACATACACACGCACACACACATACATACATTACATACACACGCACACACACATATACATACATACATACATACATACATACATACATACATACATACATACATACATACATACATACATACATACATACATACATACATACATACATACATACATAAGCACACACATACATAAATACATAAATACATAAATACATGCATACATGCATACATGCATGTATGCATACGTGCACACATGCATACATGCATACATGCATACATGTATACATGCATACATGCATACATTACATACACACACACATACACACACACATACATACATACATACATACATACATACATACATACATACATACATAATTACTTACATACATACATGCATGCATACATACATACATACACACACAGATACACACAGATACACACATACACACATACACACATACACACATACGGACAGACATGCATACATACATACAAACACACTGTGTACACACTCACTGACATATGTGTGTGTATGTATGTGCAAGTATCCATACACACACATATGTATATATATCTATCTGCACACACAAATATGTATTTATATATATATATATACACATACTTTTTTTACACACACATAAATATGAAATATATATATACATTTATGGGTGCACACCGCAAAAATGTGTGCAGTCATGGCAGCAATAACAAAAATCATGACGAACACAATGTTTCTACTTGGCAATGATTATAATATATTATGATTCTATGTATGTGCCCTCCCCGTCCATTGTTTCTTGGCACTCCATATTGAATGGGTAGGGAACACTCCTGTCAGGCCAAACTCGCCCGGCAGCTGCAGCAAATCCGGGAGACTCAGCAAAGCATGCAGGTGTTTCAAATGCAACAGTTCCCAGCTACGGCGAATCGCAGTAGTCGTTTCACTGTATAGCCTGCACTCTGCACAGCAGCCTGCTTTGGTTTGTATAGTTCGTTTAGTGTTTCAATCTGCAGGTGCGGTTGGTTGGCATCTGGCATATGCGAAGAACGCAATAGGCCTGTTTGCTCAAGGCAAATCTCGCCTGACCTGACGCGCGTACAGGCATACAACATCCTGCGACGGGCCATCTTCAAGCAACTAGCCAGTCTTCAAGTTCTGACTTGTTGTGCAGTGAACGCAGGTAGTTTCAACTGTTGCTGTCGTCAATGCCTTTGCTGGACATTAAACGGACTTGATTAGAATTGTCTGACTTGGAGCTGGCCCTGACGAGTGGCGCATTTCGTTGTAACAAAAGGTCACAAAAAGGTGCAAATTTGCGGCACGATTGGCATGACATCGTAGCGAAACCACCACAGGCCACTCCCCTCTGGTGTTCTGACGCTTTTGAACTTTATTCCAGTGTTACTTCTGATGTGTGATGGTGGCAGCAAGCGATTCCAAACCAGCAAGAGTTCTCAGGCGGTTTGCGTGGCCAATCTGACGGCAATTTTTTTCTTTTGTTTCACGCGGAGGACGCTCTGGTGGTATTGGATTAGGTCAAAGACCCATCCAGCACCTAAGAGAACCAGGGATGTTGAGAGGCATCGAGAAAGCCACGAGCCCATCTTTCAGTGCAGCCCTCTACCAGCTCGTGTCAGTTTGCCGGTGATGGATTTCTTGCTCAGAGCGCATTGAGTATCATGGAACAGTTTGGGATAGTTTGGGCACATCATGCCTGCAACCCATAAGAAAAACAGCCCCCGGCGACCATTGCCATACATTTTCGCTCTCGCATACTCTCGCTACTGTAGCTTTCTTGGCTCAAGTGAGTCATTCTCGCAAATGTATTGCAAATGTTACAAACAGGAGTGCTCTACTAAAATGATGCGTCCAAAGCTTGCGGTTTCAGATTGAAGGCCGATGAGATTTGATGAGCAGTCGCCTCGCTTCACTCCACAGATGCTTGGCTTAGTCGGACTCTCTTCATCAAGCGTCGGCATCGTTTCTCTTTGTGAAAGAAATTGCTCTCACCCTTCTTATCCCTTCTTGCCATCCCACCCGCTTCCGGAGAATTTGCAATACTGCAATTCCAAGGCTTGTGACTTATCTTAGCATCAGCCCTGCACCACGGCTCTCAGCGCGGCACCTTGCCGACAAATTGGTTTCAGAATATAGCATTTCTGAATGTATTGAATGCCAGTGCCTGTTTGACCCTTGCCCAGCTACTTGTTGTTCGTTCTACTTCTACTTGACTGTACCATACTTTACCCTTCCTCTGCTGCCTGCTGCCCGCCCACTGATGGATAAGACGCGTACGTTTGATAGCACCAGTACTCTTTGCAGGGCATGTGGCCTAGCCATCCTGGAAATCCTGGAAGTTGGCCGGCCAGCCTGGCTGAGGCAATGGGGTGTCCTGCTGCTCCTGCAAGCTGCGGGCTACTTTGGGCAGTTTGACCGGACGATTTTCGGAATGGCTGTGCCACAAATCCAAAGCCACTTGGCTTGGCCTTATGGTTCAAGTCCAAGCTTGTGCTAGTCTGCTAGTTGAAAGCCCAGGCAGCACAGACAAGCTACTGAGCAGCTACTGTAGTTAACTATACAGCAACGGAATGCTTTTGATATCTTTTGATTTTGAAGCCAATTGAGGTGATTTTGGCCTTTCAGACTCTGAGATCAGCTACGCAGCATCATTTGTTGGTTTTGCAGCTGTGCTGGCCAGTGGGATTTCTTGCCTTTCGGACCGATATGCTACAGGGGGGTGGCACTTCGAATTCCAACTTGATACCATATTCTGCAGAAGGTTTTGGGTGGGGTGATGGCCCAAGTTAACTGGCAGGACAGATTTGGGAGAGCCCGTGTGCTGACTTGGACTCTGGTTCCATATACTCTTGCGACTGCATGCACTGCAGTGTCAACCGGCATTTGCAGCTTTGCGATCTTTCAATTTCTGGCAGCTGCCTTCATCACAGCTGCCCCTTGTCTTGGGATTTGAGTTGCTTTAGTGATTCCCTTCAGCTGCTTGGCTCATGGGGATAGTTTGCAGGAGGTAGGTAGTTGCTTCGGGATCTACTACAACCGCTGTGCCAAGAACTGAAGCAACTTAAAGAATAAAGGCATCTCAAGTCGAACCAATGTCCAAATTGTCAGACTTGCATGAGCGAATAATGAGCTTGCCACGCCCCTAGCCCTAGCCTTTGCATGCACATTCTGACATGATGTCAATTTCAGCTTTAATCCGTGATGTTGTGAAGCGTAGCTCAATCTGTGCCATGCTGTTGCGTCAGGAAGGCATCATCTCTCACGTCATTGTGCTAGAGGACTGCTACTCCTAGTTGTGGAAGTCAAAGCGTTTCAATGAAATGTGCGTCCTAGGTGGGGGAGAAATTTCTGGAAGTCGCTGCGATGTTGCGTCCAGTTGGTGTTTAGCATGTGTGTGTTTTCTCCAATTGATGGTTTATCGTGAGTTTTTCATGGATACCATGCAGATGGTTGTAGCTATTCCCTTGTGTTTTGGGAGTTTTGTACATCACTTGTGGCTCGCTCTGTTGTGCAAGATTCATACAAACACCGACGAATACTGGGTCGATGTTATAACAAGTGCCTATGGGGAAAGGCCCGCATTGGCAGCGCCTATCACTTTAACTTACTGATGTATTTTTTGGCACTTCGCATAGGCACATGACGCTTACCTGTCATATCTTTTTGGGTTTACCCACTATACTCCCAAAGATGAAAGTCGTGGCAATTGTATACTTGTTTGCCAAGCTTGCGTCCCTTTGTCTCCCCTCTGTCTCCCTTACTCGCCCTTTGTCTCCTCTTCTCTCTCCTTGCTCTTGCCTGCAGCTGCTGCTTGGCTTGGTTTCCTCTTCTGCTCCACCGCTGAAAGCTCTTGAGTCTAACTGTTCTGAAAAGAATGCGAAAGCGTGTGGCTACCAAAGAGTTTGTCAGGAGACTTAGGGGGTCAGTCAGTCTCCCAAAATCTGATTTCGGACCTCGTTTGGACCTCGTTTGCACCTCGTTCGGACCTCGTTAAAATTGTAGCCAGTCAAAACCCAGCTCGGAGAGGTTTTGGAAAGGCTTTGCAATGGTCTGCTGCTTGGTCTGCTGCTGCTGCTGCTGTTGTTGTTGCTTGTGTTGCTGCTTCTGGGCAAGGCGCGGCTTTTGGGCAGAGAAGCAAGAGATTTTGCCTGGCGTAAGCGGTGTGCCATGCGGCTGGCGCAAGTTCTAGTAAAACCAAGAAGCAGAGGATTGATTTCCTACAGGCCTATGGCAAGAAGAGCAAATGAGCGGAAAAAAGATAGCCGTACCACAGGGCAGAGAACGTGGATGAGATTTGCAACTGTACATTCACTTAGCAACATTCGAATCCCGAAGTCTTCCATTCCTTATCAAACTCCTTCAGGAAAGCCACCAGAAACATTCCTTCAGATTATTATTCAGACATATTTGAGATTCATGTGTGGAGACGCGTCCTGATGGGGATTTGGAAAATTTGGCATATATTTTTAAGATTATGGGACATAACTGTGCACAAGCGTCCTGATGGGGATTTGGAAAATTTGGCCATAGAAAAGTGCACTGCCAGGGATCTAAAAATAACACTTCTACATAGTGCGTCCCATGGTGTTTTAGACCTAGTTGCATTGACTTGTTTGACTTCCTGAATGCGCGGCGTCCCATGCAGTTTTTACCTTGGTTCCACATATGCACTGACTTTCACGTCCCAGTGTAGATACTGCAAGAGAAATGGGATGAAATGGGATGAAATGGGATGAAATGGGGGCCAATGGTGCACCTGCATGCAGCCTTTGCACATGTATTCTTGGCAACTAGCAGCAACATGCAGCGACTAAACAGGAGATGCCTGCTGAGTGTCGCGGTTGGGCGATTGGGGCTCTCAACACTGGTTCGGCCTGCGGTGCGGGTGACCTGATGGCACTTCCCCACCGCTTCAACGCTTGTTGGGTCCTACTCGATTTGCTGACTTGATACCAGTAACATCAATAACGATATCTGCTGTAGAAGCACTCAGTGGTGTATGTGCGTGGTCCTTGCAGGTCTGGCGCTGTTGCTGTTTGGTGTGTCCAACGGCGCATGGCGCCTGATGTATTCTCTTTCCATTCTGCCACTCCTTGGCGTTGGCTACGTGCGGCGCCATCTTCCGGAGACGAGGCAGTTGTTTCATTGTTGCATCTCCTTTTGTGCTTGGCATATCTATGCATATCTGCTTGTACGCAAGGAGTTCCAGAAGATGCAAAGGCAATGCAGAGGTATTTTGCGGAGATTTTCCTTTACTTTGGGAATGATAAAAGATGATAAAAGCCTGATTCATCACGGGGCATCATAAGTCTGCAGAGTCAAAGGCCGTTATTGCATGTATAATAATTGCATCTTCATCCTCTTCATCGGGCTGTGTGCTAAAAAGATTTAAAAGTGCGTTGCAGGCGATGGTCTTCGCTGAAAGATGTGAGCACTGCACGTGCTTTGCAGCTAGAAGACCCAGGAGGCATTCAGCTGCCCACCACAACGATGGGCTCTCCAGTGGCCGAGGACCAAGTTGACCAAGTGTTGACCAAGAGATACCAAGATTGTGTATAGAGAGAGAGAGGCAGTAATGAAGACGCTCTCAGGTGCAATCTCATTTTTGGGCCATGCCGGCTGTGCTGATTGATATGTTTGGGCACGTTGAAAGGAAGATGATGGCAGATCTTCACCATCGAAATGCCAAATCAAGCCTTTGGGACAGGTCAAGCTGCAGAATTGAGCTAGTGCGGCTGCATGTTTGTTTCCTATTTTTCTGCTTCAATTCAAAGCAGCTAAGCAATGACTTATAAGGTGAAGCAGCAGCATGCGGCCATCCTGATTGCCACCTTCCTTGGCAGCCTGTTTCCAAGCTCGGCCAACTTCAATGTGTCGAAGCACATACAGGTAGTGCACGGCTTTGGTGCGAGCCTTGCCCGCAACCATTGTTTTGTTCCTGGTGGTGTTGTGGCATTGGAGTGTTGGTTAGCTGCTTAGCTGATATTTGCGGATGGGAATTCAGATTGCCCCGTCACCCCTTGCTGAAATTGGCTAACAAAGAAAATGTGTTTGGGAATGTTTGGGAACATTCCAGCCTTACCAGGTCTGGGTTTGCAAAGTTGTCACTGATTGGTGGCCTTCTCTCTTTGTCAGCTTTTGCATTAGCTGGCTACTTGGGCGACCGCTATGGGCGAAAGAAGCTGGGGGTTGTGGGCATCCTGGTGAAGACAGCAGTGGATGCTTGGCTACAGCGTCAGCCATGGCACGCCCTCCTGCAATTCACTCACTCATGATTCAGGCATATTCAGACTATTCCCTCTGTATCTCGCTGCAAGACGCATTTCTGCAGCGGACTATAGATGTAGATTGCGCACCCCAGCACAGGATGTGGCTTTCTACAGTGTGGCTGCTGGCGCTGATTCTGTGCGAAGGCTTAGCTTGTAGCTTCACAACTTGGATGATTTAGGACCGGCTTATATCATCTTATCAAAGGAAGTTTAGGGGGAGAAACTTCCGTGTTACGGACTTTTAGAATGTCAGGGAAAGAGTTAGTCAAAGAAAGAGGTAGCAAAGAAAGAGTTCGTCAGGGAAAGAGTTAGTCAAAGAAAGAGGTAGCAAAGAAAGAGTTCGTCAGGGAAAGAGTTAGTCAAAGAAAGAGTTAGTCAAAGAAAGAGGTAGCAAAGAAAGAGTTCGTCAGGGAAAGAGTTAGTCAAAGAAAGAGGTAGCAAAGAAAGAGTTCGTCAGGGAAAGAGTTAGTCAAAGAAAGAGTTAGTCAAAGAAGAGTTAGTCAAAGAAAGAGTTAGTGCGGGAAAGAGTTAGTCAAAGAAAGAGTTAGTCAAAGAAACAGTTAGTAAGGGAAAGAGTTAGTCAAAGAAAGAGTTAGTGAGGGAAGGAGTTAGTCACAGAAAGAGTTAGCAAAGAAAGAGTTCGTCAGGGAAAGAGTTAGTTAAAGAAAGAGTTAGTCAAAGAAACAGTTAGTCAGGGAAAGAGTTAGTCAAAGAAAGAGTTAGTCAGGATATATGAGGTAGTCAAAGAAAGAGTTAGCCAAAGAAAGAGTTAGTCAGGATATATGAGGTAGTCAAAGAAAGAGTTAGCAAAGAAAGAGTTAGTCAACGAAAGAGCAAAGAAAGAGTTCGTTAGGGAACGAGTTAGTCAAAGAAATTGTTCCCGCAGTGTAAATGGGATTGCAAGTGGTGCTGGTGGATGAGTTGCCGATGGAGTTTTGAAGGAAGTCTCGCACGAAATGCGTTTTTGAGAGATAGCAGATGCACGAAAGCCTATGTTTTTCCATACAAAGTCCGTCCCCGAACCTCGATGATCTACCTCTGCGGTGCGACGGGTGCGAGACGGTCTCGTGTGTGGTCGGATCATGGTCGGATATGGTCGGATCGGTTCCGCATTGTAAATGGGGTTTCAACTGCTTTTCGTGCATGTGTGGTCGACAGAATTCCATTGTGATTTGCAACTGTAGGATCGTTCCCGCATTGTAAATGGGGTTGCAAGTGGTGCTGGTGGATGAGTTGCCGATGGAATTCCATTGTGATTTGCAACTCTAGGATCGTTCCCGCACTGTAAATGGGATTGCAAGTGGTGCTGGTGGAAGAGTTGCCGATGGAGTTTTGAAGGAAGTCTCGCACGAAATGCGTTTTTGAGAGATAGCAGATGCACGAAAGCCTATGTTTTTCCATACAAAGTTCGTCCCCGAACCTGGATGATCTACCTCTGCGGTGCGACGGGTGCGAGACGGTCTCGTGTGTGGTCGGTGGTCGGATATGGTCGGATATGGTCGGATCGGTTCCGCATTGTAAATGGGGTTTCAACTGCTTTTCGTGCATGTGTGGTCGACAGAATTCCATTGTGATTTGCAACTGTAGGATCGTTCCCGCATTGTAAATGGGGTTGCAAGTGGTGCTGGTGGATGAGTTGCCGATGGAATTCCAGTGTAAATGGGATTGCAAGTGGTGCTGGTGGATGAGTTGCCGATGGAGTTTTGAAGGAAGTCTCGCACGAAATGCGTTTTTGAGAGATAGCAGATGCACGAAAGCCTATGTTTTTCCATACAAAGTCCGTCCCCGAACCTCGATGATCTACCTCTGCGGTGCGACGGTTGCGAGACGGTCTCGTGTGTGGTCGGATCATGGTCGGATATTCTCGGATCATGGTCGGATCGGTTCCGCATTGTAAATGGGGTTTCAACTGTTTTTCGTGCATGTGTGGTCGACAGAATTCCATTGTGATTTGCAACTGTAGGATCGTTCCCGCATTGTAAATGGGGTTGCAAGTGGTGCTGGTGGATGAGTTGCCGATGGAATTCCATTGTGATTTGCAACTCTAGGATCGTTCCCGCACTGTAAATGGGATTGCAAGTGGTGCTGGTGGAGGAGTTGCCGATGGAGTTTTGGAGGAAGTCTCGCACGAAATGCGTTTTTGAGAGATAGCAGATGCACGAAAGCCTATGTTTTTCCATACAAAGTTCGTCCCCGAACCTCGATGATCTACCTCTGCGGTGCGACGGTTGCGAGACGGTCTCGTGTGTGGTCGGATATCGGATCATGGTCGGATCATATGGTCGGATCGGTTCCGCATTGTAAATGGGGTTTCAACTGCTTTTCGTGCATGTGTGGTCGACAGAATTCCATTGTGATTTGCAACTGTAGGATCGTTCCCACATTGTAAATGGGGTTGCAAGTGGTGCTGGTGGATGAGTTGCCGATGGAATTCCATTGTGATTTGCAACTCTAGTCTTTTGCAGCTGGATCTCGTAAATCGTACTGGAGTGGCCGCATGAAGGCTGCCACAGTGATTTGTCAGCAGATTTTCTCCATTTGGCGCTAATGATTTTCCTTCTAAAAATCCTTTTAAAAAGTGCTTCAAAATCGTATTTTTTTCGCTCTGGCGTCGAGATATCCGGTTTTGGAGCTACAATTTCCGACGCCGTTGCGCGTAGTTCTATTGTGTTTTGCAACTCAGTCTCTGCAGATCGCATTGTAATGGCTGCGTCAAGGTTGCTTCGTGCTGTGGCTGCATTTAATACTATTATTGTCTTTTGCAGCTGGATCTCGGAAATCGTATTGGAGTGGCTGCATGAAGGCTGCGACATGGATTTGTTAGCAGATTTTCTCTATTTTGGCGCTAGTGATTTTCCTTCTAAAAATCCTTTTAAAAAGTGCTTCAAAATCGTCTTTTTTTCGCTCTGGCGTCGAGATCCGGTTTTGGAGATACAATTTCTGACGCCGTTGCGCGTAGTTCTATTGTGTTTTGCAACTCAGTCTCTGCAGATCGCATTGTCATGGCTGCTCCAGGTTGCTTCGTGCTGGCAGCAATTCGTAATACTATTGTCTTTTTGACAGCTGGCTCTCGAAATCGTCTTGGAGTGGCTGCATGAAGGCGCGAAATGGGGATTTTGGTTAGGTGCAGATTTCTTCCATTTTGGCACTAGTGTTTTTTTTGTTTGACGTACGTTAGAGCAGTGTGAAGTGTGAAGTGTGAAGGAAGCAGCGGGAAGTGAGAAGTGTGAAGTGTGGAGTGTGAAGTGTGAAGTGTGGAGTGTGAAGTTTAAGTTTGGAGTGCTAAGAGCGCAGTGTGAAGTGTGAAGTGTGAAGTTTGGAGTGTGAAGTTTGGAGTGGGAAGGAAGCAGTGGGAAGTGAGAAGTGTGAAGTGTAGACTGTGAAGTGTGGAGTGTGAAGTGTGAAGTGTGAAGTTTGGAGTGTGAAGAAGCAGTGAGAAGTGAGAAGTGTGAAGTGAGAAGTGTGAAATGTGGAGTGTGAAGTGTGAAGTGCGAAGTGAGAAGTGTGGACTGTGAAGTGTGAAGTGTGGACTGTGAATTGTGAAGTGTGAAGTGTGGACTGTGAAGTGTGAAGTGTGCAGTGTGAAGTGTGAAGTGTGAGGTTTGGAGTGGGAAGGAAGCAGTGAGAAGTGAGAAGTGACAAGTGTGGAGTGTGAAGTGTGGAGTGTGAAGTTTGGAGTGCGAAGAGTGCAGTGTGCAGTGTGAGGTGTGAGGTGTGGAGTGTCGAGGGAAGGACACGGTCGGGACAGGTTGTCTTTGAACTATAGGTCATTTATGTTTGGGAAACTTCCGCCGCCGGCTTGCCCGGGTCTATGTTATCATTTGATATCATTTTGGATGTTGATTGGAGCCCCCAGTAAGAGCCCGTTCCGCAAGCTCAGCACAGCTGACTGATCCACCGCCTCAATCCGCCTCAGTTGACCGAATGGCACCAAGTCACCAAGGTAGCCTGGATCATTCTTCTTTTTTGTCTACGAATGGCACTGGGGATGGCCTTGGACACCAACTTTCAGGCGGTGCTCACATCCACTCAGCCCTCCGCCACATCACTATTTGCCGACATCCATTTGTTACATTGTTGATACACACACACACACGAGAAAACAACACCAAAAACACACGCTGCAGTTGTTTCATGTTGTTTCTCTGAATCGTTTTACTGTAACATCTTTTTCGCGTTTGACCTTCCAAAGGCACTATCTGGCGAAGTCTTCCCCACTGAGAGGCGTACCACTGCTCAGGCAGGGCTTGGCGGTTCTGCTTTTGCTCACTATATTGACGTTGTTGAATGTTGTTGATGTTTGTTGGTGTGGCCAGGGATTTTTGGTACTCACAGCTGGTTTGGGCGGTCCCTTGGGTTTGCTCCTCTCCACACGCCTGGTGCCTTATGTGGGCAGCGTTGCGGCTGCTTCCAGGCGCCAATGCACAACATATATATTTATTTATTTAATATATAATATATATACTTATTTCATCTTACTTCATGCTAGTCTTGGACGTGGAACTGTGGGATTCGAATTGGTCTGGTGTGGCATGGATTTCCATGATTATTGCGTTTGAGATCTTTCATAAGTCGAATGCACAGGCTCTTAGCATATGGGCAGTTAATCTGCGCGTGCATTGTTTGTGTTTGGCTTCCGGAGACAAAGGGCCGGGAGCTGGAGGAGATAAATGCTTGAGTGGCTCCAAAACGCTGCTGCTGTTTCTTGTCATGAGCCACTGGATGCACTGGGAATGTGAATTTTTGAGGATCGCTGCTGTGCAACGAGTTTTTACTTTAGAGCTTTTGTGCTCAAAGGTCATCAGGATCTTCAGACGGTTAGCCAGATGATGTTTAAAAGATGGATCGGAGCTTACATACAGCAGCCCAGTGCAATCAATCTGGTGGTAACTGCAAATCCATCCTCTTGGACAGCGACAGTGCCACCAGGCAGAGCAGGGACGAAATCCTCATGCAATCCCAGTTCCTGCTGAGCACGGGTTGCTTTCACACTTTTTTTGAGCCATTTAATGATTTGATAGTATTGACGAGCCAGTTTTTTGAGCGCAGCCCGAGCCGTTTTTGTTGCAGGATCCACGCCGTTGTTTCGATTCTTAATGACTGTACTATATGATCTGTATGCGATGGTGCCAGTATGAACCAGCAGGTGCTTTAAGGGCTTTTGGCTGGCCCCCACGATCACACATTTCAATGTTCCAGGCCACAAAAAGCAACAGGGAATAGTGCCTCTTGGGTTCAATTTGTTTTCCTGCATGCGGCGCTTTTGAAGGGTCAACATGTACACACAAGCAAACAGATCTGCATGTGTGAATTCAACTTAACCATCCTGATCCTTAACCTATCTAATTCTCCGTGTATAGCCAGGTTGTCCCGATTTGTCCTGTTTCTTGTGTGAGCACAAAAGTTCGAGCAATATACAGTAACCAAGTTGATGTTGGTAGCGGAGTCCGTGACAGCATGGAAGCAAGAACAATGAGAAGAAGAACAAGACAAAAAAGAAGAAAAAGAAGAAGAAGACGAAGAACCAGAAGAACTAGAAGAACTAGAAGAACTAGAGCAACTACACAGAGGGATGCCGCTAAATCAACACTTAAGCCCAGCCCCCGCGCAGCAACAGCCAGCACAAAAACTGAAATGATAAGAGAATACATGAGAATACTAGCAAGAGGAAAAAGCACACCAAAAAATAAAATAACCGGTGTTCTTCTTGGACCCAGCAATTTTCAGGCAGATCAGCTGGCCCAGCTCAGAA